TGAAGGATCAAAACGTGCCCTTGTGTATGACTTCATGCCTAATGGTTCTCTTGATAAACATATTTTCTCAAGAGAAGGCAATATTGCAACTTTGGGTTGGGAAAATCTATACAAGATTTCTCTAGGAGTGGCTCGTGGGATAGAGTATTTACACCAAGGTTGTGATATGCAGATCTTACATTTTGATATCAAGCCTCACAACATTCTTTTAGATGAGAACTTCACTCCAAAAATCTCTGATTTTGGTCTTGCCAAGTTATACCCAGTCAAAGGTAATACTGTGTCCTTGACCGTAGCAAGGGGAACTCTAGGATATATGGCACCTGAGTTGTTTTACAAAAACTTAGGTAGTGTCTCTTACAAAGCTGATGTCTACAGTTATGGGATGTTATTGATGGAAATGGCAAGCAAAAGAAAGAATGTGAACCGATTTGCAGAGCATTCCAGTCAGATTCACTTTCCTTCGTGGGCATCAAAGCAATTGAACAAAGGAATGGAGTTAGAAATAAGAGAAGCCAATGAAGATGAAAAGAGAATTGCAAAGAAAATGATCATTGTAGCCTTGTGGTGCATACAGATGAAGCCAATTGATCGCCCTTCAATGAACAAAGTCATAGAGATGCTTGAAGCAGAACTTGAGAGCTTACAAATGCCTCCCACCCCTTTCCAGCTTTATCCCCATGCAACACAACAAGATGATGTTACAGAGAAAACCTACCTCACAGAATCTACTAGTTTTTCTTCATGCAATGACATAGAGATTGAGTCAATTAGTTTACTTGGAAATGAAAATTAAGTGGGATGGTAGTGAAGAAGCTTGTATTTGTATTAGATTAGCTTCCTTGAGAGCATAACCAAGGCAATGAGTTTGGTTTTGCACTAGTGTGTATGGCAACCTAATAGTTATGTATATTTTGAAGTGCATGAACTAGTTCTAATTATTTTGTCTATAAAATCAATTGAAGGATTCATTAGAGTTAATTTTTATTTTTCAAAACTAAATTAAACTTCAGTTTAAGTCATGTATCTGGAGTTCATTTCCTCTTCATTTTCTGTCTCTATAGAAGCTAATAATCCTGAAGATCTAGTTAAGCTCCCAGCAAATAAGCCAACATAACCATGACTTCTGAAAATTTGGAGTAGAAAAAATCAGTTGTATGGTTGCACCACTTTCATTTCCCTCGATAAGATGTGATGGCCAATATTCCTGAACTTGCCAAGAAATTGAAACCCGAGCATTAATTGGTAATGTACACAATTGACTTTGAAAATTCTCATGTAGAAAAGATCAGTTGTGGGGTTGCATCAGTTTCATTCCTTTTAATAGCACAATAACCGACTGCAATAGTCGGTGTTTTTGAACTTGCCAAGAAATTGAAACCTAGTCATTATTTGGTGTAGCACATTTATGTAATTGACTTTCAAAGTTCTCATGTAGAAAAGAACAGTTATGGGGTTGCACCATCTGTTAGGATTAAACTGAGCAAAGACTTTCTCATCTCTTCTTGTCTCCCCATGGCTTTGAACAAGGCTCCTTATTGCAGCCCTTCTTCTTGTCCATTCTCGTGAAAATTGCAGTGCCAAAGCAAGCCTTCAATGTCCAGCTTCTTCTTGTGGCAATATTATGAATATTCATCATCCTTTCCCATTAAGCATCGATCCACCAAAATGAAAAGACCCAGAGTATAATCTATTCTGCCAAAACATTATTGTTACAGATTTGCACCTTAATTTAGGAAAATTCTATGTGCGGGAAATCAATTATAATCACTCAATGATCAGAGTTGTGGATCCTAGTGTTCGTCAAGGTAACTGTTCCTCACTGCCTCTGTATTCCCTTGGCATTGATAAGGTCACAAGAGACAGTGATCCATATTACTTTCATCCTGGAGAAGCTCTTCTTTGCCTAAATTGTGGAAAACCAGTAAATGATATTCGCCATGTGGATGCTTCCTCTTGCATTGGTGCTACTAATTCATCCAAATCTAAAATGGCATTATTATGCCAAGATTCGAAGAACAATAGCATTTGAATTAGAGAAGTCATGCCGGATTGAGCTAATGGTTCTTTGTTCTTCAAGAGGGATGAGTGATAACAACATTACCTACCTAAAATTTCACCATCAGTTATTATATGGATTTGAGCTTTGGTGGTTTCCCTACCCTTCTATATGGATTGGTACATAGCAAACATATGTTGCCCTTTGGTTAAACACATGCAAATGCAACTCAATAATTTTGGATTTTTTTTTTTAATGAACTGTATGCAAATTTAATGTCCTGGTTCTCTCTGATTTTGGTTTCTGATATATTTTGCAGTTTTTTGGTCATCCATTATGCTTATTTATCCTACACAGCACTTGTATTAGGTAATTAGATCCTTTCTCTTCTGGAGCTATTGTTTTTCATGTATCCATGTTGCACCGTCTTGAATCCTGAAGCATGAAGAATTCAAGTACATGTGATGAGATTATAAGAAAATAATATTAAGAACTTCAGGAGAAGCATGCAATATTTATCGGATGGTTTATTTGATAACCAATTATATAAATATATATCTTTTTTTACTCACAGGTGTACTTTATGGGGTAGCATCTGCTTTTGCAATTCCAAGCTTCTTCCTATTTTTGTCATATAAATGGCAAAGAAGGCATTTATCTATGTATGATTCTATTGAAGAATTCTTGTAGAGTAACAATAACCTTATGCCAGTTAGGTATTCTTACTCAGATATCAAGAAGATGATTAATGGTTTTAAGGAAAAACTGGGGGAAGGAGGTTTCAACAAGGTTTATGAAGCAAGGCCTAAGAGTGGTGGTCTTGCTACAGTCAAGTTATTGGGCAAATCCAAGGTCACAAGCCAAGATTTTTTCAGTGAAGTAGCAACATTGGAAGAATTCACCATGTCAACGTGGTAAAACTTATTGGCTTTTGTGTTGAGGGTTCAAACTGTGCTATTGTGTATGACTTCATGCCTAATGGTTCTCTTGGTAAATACATTTTACTAGAGAAGAAATTACAACCTTGGGTTGGGAAAGACTATACAAGATTTCTCTAGGAGTGGCTCGTGGGATTTGATTATTTACACCAAGGCTATGATATGCATATCTTGCATTTTGACATCAAACCTCCCAACATTCTTTTAGACAATAACTTCATCCCAAAAATATCTGATTTTGGTCTTGCAAAATTATATCCAACAAAAGATAGCATTGTGTCCCTAACTGCAGCAAAAGGAACAGTAGGATACATGGCACCTAAGTTGGTCAATAGAAACATTTTGGAGGTGTCTCACACAAGGTTGATCTCTATAGCTTTGGAATGTTGTTGATGGAAACAGCTAGTATGAGAAGGAATTTAAACCCACATGCAGAGCATTCTAGTCAAATTTACTTTCCTACTTGGGTTTCTCAACAATTGAATAAAGGAATGGAGCTGGAAATAACAGAAGCCACGGAAGATGAAAAGAGAATAGCAAAGAAAATGATCACTGTGGCTTGGTGGTGTATACAGGTGAAACCAAGTGACCGTCCTTCGATGAGCAAAGTGGTGGAGATGCTTGAAGCGGATCTTGAAAGTTTAGAAATGCCTCCTAGGCCCTTCCAAATGTATCCATATGCAACTGAAGAAGATGATGCTAAAATGAAAACCAACTCCACAGAGCTTTCTTGTTGCTTGTCATAGTATGTTCCAGAGATAGAATCAGAATCAATCAGTTTGATTGAAAATGAAAATTAAGTGAAAAGGTTGCAGAGAAGGCTAATTAAGTAGATTTTTTTTATTCATGAGTTACACAAAAACAGGAGGTATCCATCCCCTTTTGCTACCCACTTCTCACCCCACCTAGATGTCACAATGGCTCTAAATTTGCATCATGTTTTTTGGTGTTCAATTCTCAAGAAATGGCTAATTTTCTTTCCAATTGATTAATTAACTAAGTTCCACCCACACAGACACACAAGAAAGAACACAAATAAAAACTAATAAATTGTAATTGGCATATATTGCCTGAGCCATTAGGGCATCCATCCCATTGAGAAAAATCAAGCATCGTTGTCCTAGGCAGATGCATAATTCGAAGTTGACCTGAGAGATTAAAAAACATTCAGATGTGATGAAATCGGACTTCATTCAACGAGAAATTTGTTAGGGTATTATTTACACGACTCACTTGGAAAAATCCTGTATGTCAGAATCAAGAATCAAGCTCCATCCATGGGCGATGGGTGTAACTTCCCAATGCATCAATCAATTTATCCTTAAATAATTGAATGTGATAGTCGATTCTCTCCATAAGAAGAAGGGGAACTCCGGATTGCATTGGGGTTTCCTGGACGTACGTTGTAAAAAAAAGGGATTGGGGTAGAAGGAGAAGAAACGGAACTGGGAGAGTGAGCAATGGAGAAGGAGAAGTCGGGAATCGCAGGAAACTAGAGATTTTTCGGTAAAGGTGAACTTTGCACGAGGGGGTACTTGCAGCAAGCCAGCAATCCAGTGGAATTCAGGAACCCCGCCATCAATCTGTGCAGAAGAATAATCAGAGAAAACAATAAAACAGTTCATTGTAATCTAGTGCAGCTAATAAAATGGTTTTTTTTTTCCCCGTTTTATGTAGAGTTTGTTGATATCGTAATAATGAAAAAGTATTTTATAGATAAAATTACATTAAATTATATAATTTAAATTATTAAATAATATATATTCTTTTTAATATAAATTTTTTTCTCTTTATCATATATAATTTTTATTTTATAATT